ATTATTATAACAAAAACATTTTAATCATCTTATTATATTCACCAAATCTTTGGTTATCATTCGTATTACGTAATCTAGTATTATAATCTTTCTATTACGTCATCTTGATTAATTGTGTTCACATTTCCTCATGGAATTAGTACTTTTACAAAAACAAAATTTTCATATATATACGATTGTACAACTTGATAATAAATTCGTTGAAAAGAGATCCCTTCGTTGAAATTCGTGTTTTAAATGATGGTTTCTCGCTGTTTTTTGTTGTTGTTTTTTTTCAGTTAATTCAGAATGAATTTTATTTTGCACTGATTAATGACTTCTGTTATAAGAATCTTGGTCACTAAAAATTAGAAAAAAAAATCTAAATTAATAGCCATTGTTAATTGACCTAACACATCATTCTCATCAAACGATTGAATTCGATATTCAGCTATTATTATTATTATTATTATTTTGTTTTGGGATAACCCCTATGGCAATATCGAATTACAATAGATTGTAAGATTCTTCTCCTATTTCACTAGATATATACAGATTAGTGAAATTGAATGATGACTATTATACTGCCATACTTCAACAATAAACACTTGTACAATGTATGAAAAGGGAAGTCAGGATCTCAAAGGAGTCAAATTTTTCAGTAGGATAGCTTTATTTATATAATGACAAATATGATCATCTTTAAGCACATGGCCGGTAAGATTTGAGGATACTTTCAGTTTACTAGTATTCGGTCAGAGTTGTCTTCGAAACATTGCTCGTACATCCTGGGACCATCGAGTAAGTAACGCAGTTGTTAGGAAACGGGTACTAGGTATAGATGGCAAATCAATTGATGACGTAGTGAAACTTCATCAGTTGAGATGGCTGGGACACGTGTTACGTGTGCCCAACGACCGACTGCCTTGACGTGCGATGTTCAATGGTATAAGAGCAGGTTGGAAGAAAGCTAGGGGTGGCCAGACCAAAACATGGCACAAGTCCATGAAGTCACTGACAAGTGAATAGAGCCATGTTGGTAGATGTAGACTACCTGGTTTGGGACTGTGAGACGATAGCAACCGATGGTTAGAGACCTTGAATGACATGGCTCAAAATGGTTTGCAATGGTGCAGGTGCATCCACTGTTTGTGTTCTGCCAAATTCTAATCTTCTGAATTCTTCATGTCCCTTTGTTTTTTTTCTCTTTTCAATTTTATTTTACTGGATTATACTCCTTGAGTAACGTGTTCAAAGCCTAATGTTTCCGATTACTGCTTATACTTTTACTACGTCTACCACTATGAGATTTGAGTCGGCAATTGAATCTCTGTGTTAATATTGTATGGCAACTTGAACTGATGTATGTACATACGAAGTTCTACGTTACTGACTGACTGAAACACATAAAATAAAAAGTAATAACCTGAAAAGTGAGTGTAACCAATCAGGTGATACCATGGGTCAGTCTGCTAGTATGAATTTAAATTACAGAATCAGGAATTTAGATTTGAGGTAATCAAATTTAGAATGAAAGTCTTAATCTTTTGTGTGAAATTCAAATATCATGTATAACGAGCAGTAGAAACACATTTAAAATCATAATGTAGAAATATTTTTTGGAACCTTAGAATAAAGATGATAGCGTTAAACGTATCAGATGTCTAATTATTTCTCTTTAAATTGTATATAACAGGGAAATCAACATTATTTCTAAACTATAAGCTTAAACCCTTCATTCTGAAGCATACCTAAACCTGGTGAGATTATATTTTATGTAGGAGCTAATCAAGTAGTGTACCTTGTAGGTTTGAACGAAATCCATTTTTTCCATATGAGTACAGAACAGTTTTAAATTATAGCCGATGTCAGTTTATGATGAAAACCCTAAGAACACTGTGGGAGTAAATTATTTTGATTAGTTCTGAGTTATGTCACCATAAACTTATTCAACCACTCATGTAAGTTGTAACGCTCGAATCTCGACCAAATGGGTAGTTTGTTACTTCCAACATGTGATTAGACATTATTTAAGCGTAGTACCTAGTTCTAACACCAAATCGAGACTCATATGATCATTACATTGCTTTACAATAATTTCCCTTCCAGAAGTTGAAACGAGGAACGCATTGTTACTGAGATCACGAATTGATCTACATTATACAACCATTGAATATCATGAAGGAATAGACAGTTAATCCGTCCCAGTATAAAACCACTCAGCAATGCACATCCACTACTTTACAGCAGATGGTCGAACTCAGGACCTCCGGTCTCGGACGTGAACCCTTAACCCTTAGACCATTGAGTCAGAACTCGAAATTTTACACGTTTAGGTTCAATCACTTTGCAAACAAAGTAGTTAACATTTCTGAGAATCGTGTTTTCTGTGTTCTCTATGTTTTCTTTCTAATGAAGATATATATCACCAGAAATAGAGAGAAAATTTCTACTTTTGTTATCTATTTCTTACAATCTCACAAACTGTTAAGGTCACCTCGTCTTCACTTGTAACTTCTACCTCATATATAAATGTATGTGTTTATGTGTGTGTGAAATATGTAATAATATCTGCGCGTAAATACTCATGTCCTAATAATATTGAGTTTATATGTTTATCTCTATAAATTTCTATGGGAATTATTAATTGGATATGTTTAGTTTAATTAATGCAATCATGTAGCATATGTAATAAGATATTATATTCTGGTGTGGGAGTAGAGTATGTGAGTTCTGCACTGACCAGAATTTTGTTATTGGTCACTATGTATTTTTTTAAGCCATTATATTCTTCAGTTAAATCTGGTACACTTGACCTGACTAGCCAGTAACTTTCTTAGGTAGTATTCATCAAAGTTTGGACTCAGTTGACGGTAATTTATGGTAAGGTGGTTGTTGGGCACACTTGTTGAGAAGTTTCATACTAGGATGAAATTAACCATCGGACGAACTTTAATGTTTAATTGTTTCTCCATTACTATCAATTCATGTCGATAATCAATTGCAAATTGGAATAATCTAGACAAAACCCAGTTCAACTGCTACTTGTTAAATGCATCTAAGTGCCTCGCAATAAGATGGTATATAGGCTAAAAATAACGAAATATTGAATGAACCACTCTATCAAGTTCACATATACTCAGTAGGACTTAGGAATTATCCGGCAATTATCTTACTACTTAATTTCAAAAAGCAATATGTCGATTTCACATGTAAATTTAATTACTAGCAGCTTTTTACTTCCTTTTGTCTAAATGATGTGTAACTCTTAATTTAATACCTTCGAGGTACAATATATGCAAAGTTACACTTGAAATAACTTGATACTTATTCTGTTATAATTAGTACGGGAGTCGGTAATAATTATTCTCATTTAACAACAGAAATTAAAATACCTACGCACGTACCTAATGACGATGGGCGATGCAACCAATGTGTAAATTATCACTATAACTAACAATTATGTACGTTAAAAGATTATGACGTCAGATGGAGATAGACCACACTACAAGGTCATATTAAATCAGCATATGTAGTGGACGTTAAAGTTATGCAATTTGGCTGGTCACTTATCCAATAACCGTCGTTGACATGACTAATGTATTTATTGTGGGCTTATTCAGATGACCCAGCAGTAACTGAAACAACTCTTGTGTTTTTCGCCTACTTTGATATTTCATATACTCAATAATTGTTTATTTTCACTCAGCATGTTCTCATTATAATTATAGGTAATTACAACCTGACCAATTTATGGTTTATACCAGTGACAGATTGTGATAGTATAAGAAGTGATAGTTAGGTGGATAGGTGGATGGATAATGAATGGTTAGAAAGAGGAATAAAATAAGGTTCTTAATAATATTGAATTTGAATTTATTCTAATGTCCAATACAAATCTACTACATTTCTATTTTGATTATAGTTTCGTAAAAATTAGGCGCATAAATGATTTGTAGTCGGCATTGAGTATATTTGTAAAAGAAAAACTCATTGTTGGAGATTATCTGGTTACAATCTTTTACCTCACGCTGGTCCAGTCAGTATACTTCATAACCTACTAGTTTTAAATTCAAACCAATTATAGGGAGGTCAGATGTTTCACAAATATAATGTATATCTAGTGTTTAATTTTACTTTATTATTAATTTATTGAGTGCTCAATCGAGTTATGAATCAGTTTCGTGTTGTTATTCTTCAACTGCGAATAGCTTCTCAATATTGTGAGGTACACGATAAGTTATATCGCCAAAATATGGCTTTGACATATTTTATCCATCTCTATCAAAATTAAGGTATTATGACCTTGAACTATTATAATTAAACCAGTAATATCAATGACCTAATACGAACGTCTATCGAGCTACATAGAAATTCTCTATCCTTAAGCTCAAGAGCTAAGCAACTTGCTTTCTAGTTTAAAAATCCACTTGATTATACATGTGAATTCAGGGACCACAATTCATCTTAAATAAGAAATTACAACCTATCCCTAATAATACAATATTTGAACAACAGGTTTATAATTGTGATGAAAGAATGAATTTTCTGGGATAGAAAAGTATAAGATAATTTCAAAGCTTAATATCTAATGTCTCTACCTACTGATCACGATAATCATGTGGATTCCCATTCAGTTAGTCTGCATCTATCAAAACAGCTCATACCAACAGTTCATGACGTCACAAAATGATCCTAGAATCCACATAAGTATATATATATATATATATATATATATATATATATATATATATATATATATACGGTTTGGTCATGGAGCTTTCATCATCAGCTGATGATGCCGTTCAGCATAACGATGGAAGCTCCACGATCAAACCATACAACTCAGAGAACAAAACTCCACCCAAATCATCCACCTGAGCTACAAATCTTTATCATCTCTCTCTCCATATATATATATATATATATATATATATATATATATATATATATATATATATATATAATAAACTACCGTAATTTTATTGTGCTTTTATGTTTTGTTGTTATATTCTTTACAGACTATTGGAGAAAATATTAATTGTGTTCAATCAGCACTTTGTTCCGATGAAATAACTTTGGATTCAAATGAAAACTTAAGACAAAAACAACATCAACCACATAGTCGACATGAATCTCCAACTATACATACACATACTGGCTATTTATCTTCTTCAATATCACCATCATCATCATCTACCTTGTGTTGTAAATCATCTCCTATCAAAGTTCAACAATCTCAAGTACCACTTTGTGTAACTGTTCAATCTCCTTATCGTAAAAAACAAGAATATTCTTCATTTACGTATGATGTATACAATGACACAACACACTGAAATAAAAGTGGTGAATCAGAAAAAAAAGCTATTCTTCACTAATATTTTTTTCACTCTGGTCACTCACACTATCACTACCGTCCTTTTCCCCGTTCTCATCCATCCTCCTTTAGTATGTAGTGGTACCCTATATGATTTTTGAATTTTTAATGTACAGTGAAAGCATTTCTGATTGAGTTTCTATTTCTTCGTTTATTGTTTTAATTCTGTGTTTTTAAACTATTCGTTTCTTTCTTTCTCTGTTTATTTGCGTGTGTATAGGCGTTCTGGATTCATTTGTCTTAACAATTTTACCTCGTTATTTAATGGAACATTTTATAGCATTATTTGTACAAGCTACGTTTAATCTGATAACATAATGGTAAAGAAGAAAACAAGGCAGTAGCGAACGAGTGAAACCTTGTTAGCAACTTGGTTTATTTGTCTGTTTTCATCATTCCTGTCAGTTTATTTATATGGATTATTGAAACAGTTATCATCATATGATATTATACAACACAGAGAAATTTCGTCGATCTGTTTGATAAACAATCCTCTCAGTTTTTACCGTAACTGTGTGTGCTTTAGCTCTCTCTCTCTCTCTCTCTCTCTCTCTATATATATATATATATATATATATATATATATATATATATATATATTCTGCCTATTTCAATAATATGATACTCGTCCATGTTGATGTCATCTTCATGGAACTGGTTTTATCATGGGATGCATATTTTTTTTATCAGACTGAAATAAAAGTGGAACAATGAGAACAGACCTATCTATTATTTATTGTACATTTGTTTATTTAACAGCTTGAATAATCATTTACAGGTTGTACATTTGTTCTTTGTGTTGTATACCTTCACATAGTTTCAAACTTTGTTTCATATGTACTCAAAATTAACTGGCACGTACTACTATATATATATATATATATATATATATATATATATATATATATATATATATATATATATATATAATTTTAAACAACCAATGGGCTTTCAGATTTTTCTCAACACAATACAGCTGGTATAAGACAAATGTGATTGGTTGAAAGTTAGTAATTATGTTAATTTGTGATCAGTTATATATAATATTTGTTATTTATTCTTCTCTAATGTGCATTCCAGTATAGTTTTGGTATTGCACTCATTCTCTTTATCTATCCATCTATTGCTGCTTTATTGCATTTGTGTTCTACACACAAAGTATTGTTATATGTACATGTATTTTGCATATTCATTTTCAATCACTTTTCATTCTGTACAGTTTTTCTCAATTATCTAATAATATTATTGATTGATTTTGTTGCTACAGTAACAGTACACCAGACTTCACCGTACTATACTATACTACACTACACTAATCTTACCTAATTTAATGTTCATTACTTTTGTCTATGCTTCTTTGTTTGTGCGTGCTCGTATCTCTTCTTAATTTCAATAGATTCTTTTCAGTTTTGTGTATCTGTTTGCTTGTGTGTATGTGCGCGCGTGTTTTTTTTGTTTGTTTGTTTGTGGTACGACAGGACAAATGAATTAAGTTTCCTTAAAATTTACACTTTAGCACATAAATCTTTTTCTATCAAAACGATTAGAAAAAAAGTATGTAAACATTATGATATTTTATTTGATATTGTTCATTATTTTCTCTATTTAATCTGTGAATTTGTTGACTGTTCTTTGTTTATTGGTGTCTGTCTACTTTTATTGTGTGCTTTTGTTCAATTGTTGTCTGTTGTTTTTTTCTCTACAGAAAATCGACAGTTGTTTCCTTCCTTAATAATTATCTTGTTTTGTAACTGTTATTACAATATTTTTATTGCTTTTTATTGTTATTCTTGTAAATATGTTATAAATTATTTTGCATAGAAAAATAAATAAATTATTTGCATACAAATGACATATATACATACATTGCTGAAGCAAGTATTGTATTGGTTGATGACGTCATGTCCTATTCAAGTTGATCTTTGTTACTGAGTCACTTACTGTTTTGTTTGTATATATGTTGAAATAAATTCCTGATTAGGAGTAGGGGAGTGGAAAGCCATCATTTTGTGAAGTTAAACTGAATACCATAAGAAGAGATGTAAAACTCTTGATTGTGTTTCATAGGTTTTATCATAATATATATATAATTGAAGATGTTAGGTTGCAATTTCCCAAAACCTTCAACTTTATTTTATTCTTTAATTTTGATCATTGTTTTATAAACAATATTGATGTGGGTAGACAAGCCGAATTCTGGTTGGCTAGCTAAGGGTTAATTTCTGTCATCAGATCATTTTCATCCTACCGGACGATTGAATCATCACACACTCACATTAATGAATCGTATAAAAATGAATAATGTTATTTTCGTACTATAAACCTCCTATGATTTCAAACTTCAGTATGGCCATATAATTCGATCACTAGTTCATTTTGTCCACTAATGATGAGTACTTTTACATCGACAATGCTGACAACTTTTGCTTTGTTGGTTGTACTAACACTGACTGTCTCATGTCACTTCTTTCTCCCTCTGGTATTCCCAGTCAGAACATGAGAAGAGTCAGTCGATGTACTCTGTTTATTTTATGACTTGATATTCACGTGGTCACAAGCGTCAACTTCGCGATCAAAACTCACTCCAAATAGGAAATCACAATCTGTGCACAAATTGAGTAACAAGTACATAATTATGAACGGTAGAAGACATATCATCAGTCAACTACATATAATTAGGGCAATATAAAAATATAGTAAAACAATTATTTAGCAAATTAGGACTAAATGTAGTATAAGATAGTTCTAAAAATCCTTCCCTTTCCATTTACCTACATGTATTAACTTTTCTTTACCCTTCCACCTTCCTCGTCAGTTGGTAATCACGTTACATATATAGTATATTGTGTTAACCAGACAACATAATATATATGTCATTCGTAGTCGTTCAGTTTAATCAAGTTCTGTTAAGCTGTAATAAGAACCACCATATAGTGATTGATAAAACCATTATTTTTATTGGCGTTACTGGTTGGCCTCTCAAATTAAGGAATAACTTTTTTTAGTTCGAACGACTCTATTGCGGACACGATAAAGCCTTTTGAGATGCAACACGTTTCAATAATCACCCGCTAACACGAGTAGATCACTTGAAATGGTATGATTCAATATATATAGTAACGAAAGCTTGATTTTCAAGTGCACGGGAGAGTAGCAAATTAAAATTGATGGCAACCAACTAGTAAAGGGGAAAGATCATGAGAAAAATGAAAATGCATTCATGGCCATCATTCCTTGTAGGACTGTAGTATTATTCAACAAAACTGAGTAATTTGATTACACGATGATCAATATTGTATCATAGTTTTTTCATGTGTAGTGCCTTTTTCGCTTTTACTGCTACTGTTATTGTTTTGCGTTTCTTGGTTAGTTTCGTCTTGATACGCTTCTATCACTATGATTTAGTAAAAATTAACTAATTGAACTGATTGACATTAGCTTCAGATGGATAATATGTTGTTTATCACTGACAACAGTTGAATGACTCCACTGTAGATTAGAAATGGCGAAAAGTATGAAATTGTGACATGCTGACATTTTTAGGATTGAATTATGTCACTTTGTATACATATATATATAACTGACTTTAAACGAATGTCATGAATGTTACTTTGGACCCCACTTTTATATTTTACGATGACGGTCTGAGAAAGGGAATCTAATCTGTGTGTTTCATAGTATTTTTGTAACTGTTTATTGTTTACATTAAAGTGTTACAAAGCACGTTGAGGTTTGAATCCAATACTCTTAGCTTTTTTCTAAAGTTAGAATGAAACATAAATCCTGAATTTTCCCATATTAGTGGTTACTCTGACCAATACCGATAGCGATTCTAATACAACTGGGACCAGTAAAGTGATTCTGCTAGGTACGTGAACTGGCTAAATAATGAAAAACAAACTGTTTGAATGGCCTAAAATATATTTGACAAAATTACAGATTAACTTATAATGAAATCTGTATGTTTTTTATAGGCAATACAATTAGTTACTTTTATAAAATTCGTAAATAACATTCTCTACTAGATTCGTTGTGATCCATTGAATTACGTTACGAAATAGATGTAGATCATTAGTTGACTCCTAATGGTACTTTATCTTATGTTTAATTCAGGACCGAAACTTTGGTGGAATTTATAAAATATCTTCTACCTGTTTAATAATAATAATAAACTTTAAAATGATCCATTCTGATTTCACTGAAGAATTGTAGTATTTTCTTCGTCCACCTGACTGCAGTGTGGAAGTAGTAACATGTTAAATGGTTGGAGTTAGTTAATAGGAAACCTTGGATTTAGTTTGCGTGCTAGTTGGAACTCGTCAAGTAGGTGCACCTACAGTTTTCAGTAGACTAATACTTCCTATAGGATTCGAACATTCGTCACCCAGCTTAATAGTCTTAGAGGTTACTACTGAGCTAATCTGGGGGCGATTGATCTCCTCCAGGATTGAGATGGTTAATGATCACTGAGTAGCATCAAAACATATAGCATGCTATGCACAGTAACTTAGACTAGTGATCACAACGTAAATTAATCGATAAGATTCGATCATCTCTAAAAAGTTAGAAAAACGTGACATAGGTTACTGCTCATTAATCAACTATATATATGTCCAATTTGAAAACAAGTAGAAATAAGGTTAAAAAAGTTGATTTAGGTTTTAAGACTTCGAATCCCTGATAGGGCATAGGCTGTTGACTAGTGATCTCTGATCAACTCTGTCGTAGGCTCTACTTTCAAGTTGTTACTGAATGCTATTAATTCTTTTGATGTATGCCTCCAAGTTGTATCGTTTATTCGTTACAAATGTATATTTGTTTTATAAGACAAATTTTTCCGTGTAATATTTGTACACTATGGGATTGTAATAATTGTAAATAAGTAAGATCCAGTAAGGTTTATTTTGATTGGCAAATGAACAGTGATCAATCTCATGTATATCTAGTACTTTAGTACTA